TGTTATTTAACACAATGCCTGTTAAAATCCTAGCAAGACTTTTTTGTAAATAAACACAATTTTATTCTAAAACTCATATGGAAAGACAACCTGAATAAATAAAAATGATTTATTAAAAGAATGGACTAGGAGTAGGAGTAGAAATGTACCTGATTTTAGAATTTACTTTATAGCTACTGTTATTAAAATGGTTTGGTATTGTTAGAGAAATAAACATATAGATCAGTGGAACAGGATAGGGAACCCAGATATAGATTCATATGAATAGACTCAACTTTTTTTTTTCCAATTACAGTTAACATTCAATATTTACTTTATCAGTTTCATGTCTGCAGCATAGTGGTTAGATGTTTATATAATATATGAAGGGATCCCCCGATAAGTCTAGTACCCACCTGGCATTATTACCATATTATTGACTATTCCCTTACGCTTTACTTTACATCCCCTTAACTAATTTGTAACTACCAATTTGAACTTCTTAATTTCTTCACCTTTGACAGAGGTGCAAAAGCAATTAAATGGAAGAAAGATAACCTTTTCAGGAAATGGTTTTGGAGCAATTGGATGTTCATAGGAACAAAAACAAAAACCCTTGACCTAAATTTCATGCTTTATACAAGAGTGAACTCAGTGAATCATGAATGTAAATGTAGAACAACACTTTTTGAACTGTTAGGGCTAGGATGGGAGCAAATCTTTAAGATCTTTGGGCTAGGCAGGATTTCTTAGACTTAACAATTTATAAAAGGAAAAAATTGATAAATTGGACTTTATCAAAATTTGTTTGAAGTTTGCTCTGCAAAGACCCTACAAAGAGGATGAAAAGACAAACAGATGGGAGAAAATATTTGCCAAACACATATCTGACAAAAAAAACTAGTATCTAGAGCATATAAAGAACTCCTGAAACTCAAAAAAAAAAAAAAAAGACAATCCAGTAAGAAAATGGGTAAGAGACATTCCACTGAAAATGATATACTAATGGCAAAAAAGCATATGAAAATATTCTTAACATCCATTCATTAGCCATCAGAGAGAATGCAAAGTAAAACCAAAATATCACAATATTACTACACACCTCTCAGAATGGCTAAAATAAAAAATAGTGACAGTAGCAACTACTGGTATGGATGCAGAGAAACTGAATCACTCATACATGTTGATGGGATGTAAAATGACACTATCATTCTAGAAAACAGTGTGGCAGTTACTCAAAAAACAAAGTGTTCAGCTACCATACAACCCAGCAGTTGCATTCCTGGGCATTTATCACAAAGAAATGAAAATTTATGTTTACACATAAACTTGTACATGAATGTATATAGCTGTTTAATTCATAATAGCCCAAAACTCGAAACAATCCTGATGATGTACAGTGGGTGAATGGTGAAACAAGCAGAAGTAGATCGATACCATGGAATACTACTCAGCAATAAAAACTGAATGTACTATTGATTTACATAACAACCCGGATCAATCTTCAAAGAATTATGCTGATTGAAAAAAGCCAGTCCCAAAAGGTTCTATTCCATTTATATACTGTTACTTATGTAACACTTTTGAAATGCCAAAATTATAGAAATAGGTTAAATGGGTTGTCAGGGGTTAAAGAGGGGATGGAGGAGAAGGAAATGGGTGTGGTTATAAACGGACAGCATGAGGATGGTGGTAGAAATGTTATGTATCCTGCTTGTATCAATGTCAATATCCTAACTGTGATACTGTACTGTTATTTGATAAGATATTACCATTGGAGGAAATCAAGTATCAGGTACAGAGGGTCTCTCTGTATTATTTCTTGTAATTTCATGTGAATCTAAAGTTACCTCAAAATGAAAAGTTTAATTAAAGAAAAATGAATAAAGTGGAAGGTATCTTTTGGTAAAATAAGTGACACTGAGGTAAAATAAGTGACACATTTGTATTTTGTAAGTCTTTTAAATACCAAAATAAATTTTAGATTTAATTCTGTAAATAATAAGGAAAAAAAATTCTTGATTGTGGGTGTAGCACAAAGGAAATGAATAGAAAATTAGTCGCAATGGATAGAACAAATTGTCTTACATATGCAATTATGGATTATAACAGTATTTCACAAATATAAAATATCTTAATGTTTGACAATTATGTTTTAAAAAAAGCAAAGTCTTAAAAATAGAATTGGATTGCCAATATATTGGGTCTTCGGAAAAGTCATGACATATTTTGTCTATGTTTTTCAAAAGTCATTTATTTATATAAAGAACAAAGATCAATCAATGATATAATGCCCATTTTGTTCAATAACCTTTTGCCATCTGTGAGCTTCATAATTCCTCGTTCATAGAAGGACCTGTCTTTATTTGCGAAAAACTGAACAAGGTACTGATTTACAGCCTCATCTGAATTGAATGTTATACCACACAAGGAGTTTTGAAGAGAGCAAAACAAGTGGAAGTCTGACGGCACAAGGTCAGGCGAGTATGCCACCATATGGCAACACATCCCATCCAAGCTCCAATCATTTTTGACGGGTGATCAAACTTGTGTGTGGTCTCGCATTGTCACAATGGAACACAACTTTACATTTAACAAGCTCTGGACGTTTCTGGATGATGGATTCGTTCAAACTGTCCAACTGCCGACAGTACACATTCGAATTGATTATTTGGTTTCTTGGTAGCTCAAAAAACACGACACCTTTAAAATCCCACCACACTGAGAGCATAACCTTCCTCTGATGAATGTCTGCTTTCGATGTCGTTTGAGGTGAATCATCACGTCGGGACCAAGACGGTTTGCGCACCACATTGTTATAAACAATCCACTTCTCATTACCAGTTACCAGTTGCTTCAAAAAAGGATCGTTTTCCTCATGTTTAATGAGCATATTGCAGATGTTTATACACGCTGTCCAATGAACTTCTTTGAGTTCATGCGGAACGCAAATATCGAGCTTGCTTACGTATTCCAGCTTCTTCAGGTGGTCGTGAACGCTTGAATGTTGGATGTTCAATGTTTCTGCAATCTCTCGTGTTGTGTAACATGGGTTTTACTGGATCAATGCCTTTATTTTGTCGCCATCAACCTCGGTGGGGCCTCCCTGACCAAGGAACATCATTGAGATCAAAATCACCAGCACGGAATTTCGTGAACCATCGTTGGCACTGATGTTCTTGTGGAGCATTGTCACCGTAAACTTGATGCAACTTTTCACAAGCTTGATGCACGCTCTTCCCTTTATGGAAGTAAACCAGTAAAATATGGCAAAAATGCACAGTTTGGTCTTCCATCTTCAACTTGTTTTAAAATCTCCAAAACTCAACCAAATCGCTCAATTTTTTTTAGAATGAAGCTAGAACTGTCATCTGTCAAATGACATAGCAATAACATAGATTAGAATGACTCTAGTACTTCCAAAAATGAACTAGTGCCATCTGTTGCAAACATGCGTCATAACTTTTCCGAAGACCCAATAGTAATAGTTTAAAAAGCAACAACGTTATGAAATTCTCTGAAATAGTCCATTTAGTGTATAGAGGTTAAATCCTAAAACTGATAGTATTAGTATTGGAAATACAACTTTGGCAGATATTGATAGATATGCTTCTTTTTTAGATATGGGTTAATACCTTGGTGTTGTTTGTAAGTACATTGTTTGAATCTCTGAATGTGCTTTCCCATTGGTTCAACATTATAAATGATGGCTATAGTTCTGAGTCATAGATCTATTTGAGAATCTGAAGAAAGTTTGGACCATCTCCTCAGATAAATGGACCATCCACCTACTTTTTTATACAATAGGGTTCACAGACCATCTGAGACATATCTCTGAATTCCAGTTTTAGGAAGCCCTATCAGAAGTGAAATTCCCGAATATCTCTATATAATTAATTTTAGTGTGAGATGTAATCAGCCAAAACCAACTACCTAATGAGCATCTGTTTGCTTGCACAGTACCTATGGCAGCCACACATGGAATCCAAAAAGTATTTTTAAAATATCCCATATTACAGAAAACTTATGATATAGTTTTAAGAAGTGAGCTGTATTTATGAAATGATTAATTATTGGAAGTATCAGAGTGAGAATAGTGTAGTTCCTGCATTTTGTTAAGCAATGTACCATTGCCTCTTCATATAATTTTGTCAGTTACAGCTGACATACAATACAATATTGCATTACTTTCAGGTGTACAACATAATGATTACATGTTAATCACCCTAATAGCAATACCTCTTTTGGGACATTGGAGTATGAGATGGAAAATAGAATTCTTTATAAACAAATATCATGAAAGCAGCAAACTGAGATGGGAAAACTGAGACTATCTGAATTCATTCAAAAACAAATTCAGACTTTATGCTGAACCATGGGGATAATGCAGTGAAAACAGACACAGTCCCTACGCTCATAGAGTTCTAAGAGGAATAAATTGTTCAGGAATAGAATGAAGAGTAGCTAAATCTGAGTTGGAGTATGCAAAAAAAGGTTTATAGTGTAGGTTGCATGGAGTATACTTGCTGTACTAAAAAAAAAAAAAATTGACCTTGAACAAGTTTCCTAACCTCTTTGAACCTCAGGGGTCTCATCTGTATAGTGGAAATAATAATGGATAGAGTAATAAGGTATTAGGTTCAGAGCCTGGCAGTCGGTAGCTACTGTTATTGGTTTGAATGGCACTAATGAATGACTAGATTACAATATTAAAAAAGGAAGACGCACAATAATGGCGGATGAAGCACAGTAGTCAGAAAGCAAGATGGACATCCTTTTATATTTAAGACAGTAGTGAGACTTGCCTGTCTAGTATAAAAAATTGTATTGGGAGGTAATAATGTGTGTAATTGTAAGCAAGTATGATACCTTTAAAAGAAATTGCTACTGTTTTACTATTTTTTTGATTAGCCTCAAGTAATTGTTTTTGCTGCTGTTAACTTGACAGCAGTTTTTATATGGGGCAGTCTTTTCTAATATAAAAACTTTGCTTACCAAGTTTTAACTCATTACTTTTTCAGAGATTGGAAACGCTTATGCTGTTTTGAGCAACCCAGAAAAACGAAAACAGTATGACCTCACAGGCAATGAAGAACAAACATGTAATCACCAAAACAATGGTAGATTTAATTTCCATAGAGGTTGTGAAGCTGATATAACCCCAGAAGACTTGTTTAATATATTCTTTGGTGGCGGATTTCCTTCAGGTATTTTTATGTTAATTATAAAATGTTATATTTTGTGAAGCTAGAGATTCTCACCTCCAGTTAGGCTACTTAGAGATTTATCTACCTTCTCTCTTTCATTTCTTATAGTATTATTACCCTGTGATGGTTTATGAAGGTAGAAGAAAAATGTTAGACATTACTTTTACTATAAGTATGCCATTTTCCTAGAACATATTTTAATTAAAAAAATAAAAAGAAATGAAGAGTACAAATATTCTGTATTTTGTATAAAGCTGAAGAAAGGACGTGTACATAAGAAACCCAGTGGCAGTGTCTCCATTAAGTGCTATTACGACTATGGACGACTATTTGACATAGATTTTCTGGAGTTCTTAGTAGATATTTTATTAATAACATTATAGATTACTGATTTGGATGATGTATATGGAGGTACTTTCCCCTGAAATATTAAAATGTCCGGTTTATAGGTGATATAAAAAGTGAGTTTTAAAATTACATTGAGATAGAAATAATTACTTGAATTAGACCATCAAAGTAAAATACTGTAGAGGTGCTATCAAATGAATAGATTTTATAGTACCAGCATAAGTAGTATTGAACTCTGCTTACATTTACTGTGAGTTGTTTGTATAGAAATTAATATTTTTTAAGAGCATCTCCTCTAAGGTGTTTAAAATTTTAGCTCCAGTCTCATTTACATTTCCTTAAGGTGCTAAGTTAAACATTGGAGAATCTTTATGAATGTAGCAATATAATTTGGCCTGGTAGCCCCATCTGAATATTATTGAGAAATTGATAGGGTGTTTTATAAAGAACTCTTGAAGGAAAGAGATTGTAAGTACAAATTAATAATTGAAAATATAATCTGTATTTTGACATATTAGATTATATAACTACCTCACAGAAAAATTATTCAGAGTAATAATAATTCTGATTAACGATATGCTAGGAACAATCAGAAATCTTTCAGGTAAAAGTGAATTTTCTGATAGTTGATTTACAGTTCTTTTGCTTTCATAACAGCTTTGTCAGTGGTAGCCATTTCTGGTTGGTCACCTTATTTGAAAACAGCTTGAGTATCCATCAGCAAGAGAATATTTAAATAAATTGTGGTCCACATATACCGTAGTATATTCTACAGCTATTTTTCCAAAAATAAATTAGATCAATGTCTTTTGATTTTTTAGAAATATATGTGATATGGTGATAAATGAAGAAAGCAGATTTTCAGAGTAATGATCCAACGAACCACAACAAAAGTCCTCTTTATGCAGTATTAGGGAGGAACTCATATTCAAGCTTTCATAAAGAAAGAACTCTACTTTGCTTTACAGGAAGCAAAGCCTGGGAAGAATCATTCCTGTTTCCATCCACCCTTCCCCCACAAGATGAGAAGGCAATAGGCATTCACTTCTCAAACATGCATTATTTTAGTAATTAAAAAAATTAAATATAAAGAAAATAAGAAAAGAAAAAAAATATTTTATTTGTAAAAGAAAGTATAATTTTTAGTCATAACTGTCCTCCCTAATGTAACCTTGCATTTAATTTTCTAGGTAATGTACATTCGTTTTCAAATGGACGAGCTGGTTATAGCCATCAGCACCAACATCGACACAGTGGCCATGAGAGAGAAGAAGAAAGAGGAGATGTATGTTCATGATATGATTAGAAATGATAAAATGGCAAATGTCAGCTTAGGAAAAGCAATTAGAGTTGTCTGAAAATAGGGCAAGCTTTTAAAAGGAAGTAATGAGTTTTCTCTTAACAGAATTGTTCAGTAGAGACTAGAATATCCCTTAGGAATACTGGGGTAGCAGGGGTAAGAAGCTCTGGTGGGGGAAGTTTGGGCAATATGACACCTTCAAATTCGGTATTCTGTGATCCTAGTGAAGATAGCCTGCAGTATGTATGTTTTGAAGGTTACTTCTTACTGTTGATCTTAAAGAATTTCGAGTTTGTATTAAAAACTTAAATAGGATGTAACTGTCACTTGTTTTAATGCGGTTACACCTAATTGCATACAGCAATTAAATGACATAAAGTGGAAAGAGCACTAGACTAGAAATTAAAAGGCCTGGGCCCCCACTCTGCCACTCCGCAGCTTCCATATTCCACCCTCAAATCCCAAGTAAAAACAGTTTTGCAACCTGATACATATTGATAAAAGTCTCTGTGTGTAGCAAAAAGAGAACCCATCTGTCAAATGAGGTCAGGTTGTATCAGTGTTTTCTAAGTCAGGATCATTAGGTGAAGCACAGGGAAAGCTGTATTTTTAAGAATCACTCCAGGAAGTTGGTATGTTCAGGCAGATTTGGAAGCACTGAACCAAACGATTTCAAATGTCCTTTCTGCCTCTAAAAATGTATGACAACTTATTGACAACTACACTTACATTACAATTTGTTGTTCTTTGGTGATTTTTTTATAGGGAGGTTTTTCTGTGTTTATCCAGCTGATGCCCATTATTGTCTTGATCCTCGTGTCGTTACTAAGCCAGTTGATGGTCTCTAATCCTCCTTATTCCTTATATCCCAGATCGTAAGTAGCTAAGTGTAGTTTTACAAAAAGAAAACTTGTTGTTTCTTATCTGGCTTTCTTTAAAGGGTCTTGTGCTTTTTTAAAATTTTAAGTGCCAAATCTTCTATTTCTACAATTGTATCAGATTTTTTTTTTTTAAGGTAAATTTTTTTTTAAAGATTTTATTGGGGAATTGGGGGAGGGAACAGTGTTGGGGAATTGGGGGAGGGGAACAGCCACGTTGTTGTCCTTCAATCTCAGTTGTTTGTGTAGGGCACAGCCAAGCTCAGCTCCAAGTCCAGTAGTGCAGCTCAGCTCAAAGTGCTGTGTTCAATTAGTTGCAGGTGGGCATATAGCCCACCATCTTAAACAGGCAACCTTGTTATTAGGAGCACGTGCTCTAACCAGCTGAGCCATCCTGCCACCTGTTGGCAGCTTAGCAACAACTCAGCTCGGGCACAGCTCACTGGCCCATGTGGGAATCAACCCAGCAACTCTGTTGCTCAGAGCTTGCACTCTTGAGCAAGCTCTTAACCAACTGAACCACTTGGCCAGCCTCTGTATCAGATTTTAAAATGTCTAATTTTAAAAATAATTACTCAAGTGATAAATTTATATTATGTTTTTAGTTTATGTCAGTTCCACTGTGGATAAAGACAGAAGTGTTATGTGCTATATTTGGCCTTGATAACAATTTAATGTAATAGATAATGTGTTGACATTAAAGACAAAAAAAAATAAAAGACAAAGATAAAATTGTCATTGATCTTATATAGATTTATGTTATTAAGGGGGAAATGACTTCACTCCTCTCTTTATAAAATATTGACTAAATAAAAACAAATCTTTCTTTTATATGAAGTATTTTTGCACTATATACTTTATATGTAAGAAGTCAGGACATATAATAAAAGAAATTTAATGCAGCACCTATTCTGGAAAGCTTTAGTGTAATACAATGAACATACAGGAAACTTTGTAGAATCATACTGCCAGTGATTTTACAGTATTAAAAACATTGGTCTAAAAATAAGAAATAACTTTTATTTCTTTCAAAAGATTTTGTTAACTAAAAATTGAGAGAACTTATAAGAACTTATAAGAATGTAGTATATTAAAATATTATTTTTTTATGACATGAATGGTAGTGGTCAGCAATTTGAGATAATGTAAATAAATGATTACAAATAATAACTTTTTAATTATTTTAATTGTTTTTGTTAGCTTGGTTTATAATAGCAGATTAGAATGTACAATTTTAATTAAAAAGAATAATGATCAAGCATTTCTTTTACAGTGGTTCAGGGCAGACTATTAAAATGCAGACAGAAAACTTGGGTGTCGTTTATTATGTCAACAAGGACTTTAAAAATGAATATAAAGGAATATTATTGCAAAAGGTAGAAAAGAGTGTGGAAGAAGATTATTTGACTAACATTCGAAATAATTGCTGGAAAGAAAGACAACAGAGTAAGTTTATCAAATGTTTAACGTTTAAAAACTTATTCATGTGGCTTTTCCTACTCAAGGAATGTTCTAGAATTGCCTAGTATATACTTTGAGCTCAATACTTAAGTGAGACAGTTTGTTTTAATATATATGTGGCCTATACTAATATTTGACACATAGCAAGGTAGTAAATGGTATTTGTGTTATTTTTATCAGTAAATATTTGGTAGAATAAGCGAATAATACCATCATTGGGACAGTTGGTGAAATTTGAATGTGGACTACATATTAGATATCATTGTTAAATTTCTGAATTTGAGAATTGTATTGTGGTTATATAAGAATGCACTTGTTCTAAAGAAAAATATGCTGAAATAATTAAGAATGCAAGGTCATGATGTTGGTAACTTATTCTCAAATGGGTTCTGCAAAATAATAATGACCACAACAATAATAACTGCCCTTGTTGTAAAGCAAATTTGACAAAATGTAAAGAATTGATCAATCAAGGTAAAGAGTTCTAGGGTGTTCATTGTAGTACTTTTCACTTTTGTGTAGTTTCCAAGTTTTCAAAATGAAATTCAACCAATTCAGCATATCTATAGGTTAGTGGTTTTGAATGAAGATGGAAGTGGGAGGGGCTCAGTATAACAATTCATTGATTAAATGCTTCACTTCTTAATTAGAATGAGATCCGATTATTTTATAGATGTCATTAAAAAGATTATTGGTGAGTGTATATTCTTTTGACAGGGTTTTTCTGTTTTGGAGTCACTTCTAACACTCTTGTTTAGACTGGTAAAATAGGTGTTAAAATACAAATAGTAATTTAAGGTAATGGAAAGGCTATATTACGCTGGAAGTTGGAGATTTGGATTAGAATCTAGACTCTGCCACTCACCAGGCTTGTGAACTTTGGTTTATCTACCTCATTTGGTAAGAATCAGCTCTAAGTGCTTCATTTGTAAATAAAAGGGGTGGAGTGATTTTTATTGGCTGAATAATGATTGTTTCTGAAGATCTTTACAAATAGAAAACACTCTTACTTTTGAGTATACATGTATTTTGTTTGTGGTTCTGACTGATGTCCTCTACTTTGGTCACTGTTTTCCAGAAAGTAACCGATTTTTCCCCCTTTTTTGTTACATCTTCTTGAAGTGCTGCTACCCTTTAGAAGTGTTAACAAATGGCGAAATGGCTGACAGTAACAGAAAAATAATAAGGAAATCTTCCCTGAATAATGTTTGATTTCTAGTTCATTTCTTTTTCTTTTTCTTTTTTTTCTTTAAAGATTGTATTGGGGAATTGGGGAGGGGAACAGTGTT